TCCTCTTTCTGTCCTTCAAAAGCGCCTTCTTTCTTCCACTAAACGAATCAATTCTCCCCCTTGTGGCATGCATCCCTCGACTTTACTGTCACATTTTAAGCCAAAACCAAGATATTAAACATCAGACTGATCATTGAACTAATTAAAATATCAGTTCAATAATTAATAATCAAAATCATAATTGAATCATAATAAAAGTAATTTAACCAAGCAAGTTTACCCGATTTTTCATATGATGTATGATCAAAACCACTCTTTATTTAAGCAAAAAAAGGGGGAATAATATGGAAAAAAATGAAATAGGCAATAATTACACTTTTAAATTCTGTTTGGTTGGATCAGATAGCAGACTTTAAGAATTTGATTTTTTTTTAAAAAAATGAAGTGGGGTTAAGAGATTTTAACTAACTTTCTTTGCACTCCTTTGATATATATATTTTTATTAAAATTTTATATTCTCACTTATCTATTTTTTAAAAATGGAACTCATTAGAATCTTTCTCCCTTCCAGACAAATGGGTGTCAAAGTTCAAATTTTATGAAGGTCAAGCATCTAACTTTATATTTTTCACATATTTAAGAAGTTGGTTGGCCCTCCATGGCTTTTGCGCTTTTCCTTTTTTAGGTGAATGGATACGTTCAACCACTCTCCAAGTAGGATGAGTTTTGGTGCCACAGAGCATATGCAAAGCATTTATACTTATAATTTCGTAAAAAACACAGCTTTTAAAGTTTGTCGAGTTATGTATATGCACATTGAGAAATCAACACTCATCAAGCCATCACTTGTTGAGAAGCTGAACTCAAAAAGTCATGTTTCTATAATAGGTGAGTCGAATTCTTAAGACTAATTTTTTATGGCAACATTTGTTCCTTTTCATCTGTGAATGATCCTATTGCGAGACATGATTCACCAACATAAACAAACCGGGTTGCGTCAAGATGACGGTGATTCTTATCGGTCCATAGAGAGAAATTAATTATGATTCCCATCCAACTTGAGTAATCTGGACTACTGGTAAATCTGGTCCTCACCTAAAAGCTTTGGAGCCTCATTGTTATTACAATTATTTACTTTGCTTCTGCACTGCAAATCATTGAACTCAACCCATATGTCCTGGGCTTGATGTCAACATCGGCCTTTTAATCATTTTTTGTAAGCACCAAACCGATGCTTTGTTCCCTGAAAAGCAGCAAACTGACGCCATCCATTATATATACATACATGCATCACATGGGACACCCAGATCATGTAGCTTGTCTTGACCAATATCTCCACCCACCAGTTAAACTTCACACAAAACTACATATACACTCAGACAAAATAAGACTGATCAATCATCAATGTCAATACATAACATCCATGGATGATAGCCGAGTGCATTTTTCTATATTACTATTGGGTTTTTGTCTGTTTGTTTGTTTGGTGTGACAGTTTCAAAGTGCCAACACAGCCTTCATTGAACATATAACAATGACAAGTGACAATGGACAGACCCATTTCCTTTTTTTTGTTTCATCAATTTAATATTGAAAATTTGTTCACTAAGTGAGAGGAAAGACTGTTCCCTCTTTTGGTGGACTAAGAAAGTGGAAACATAAAAGAAAAACGCATCAGAGAATCTCTTCAAAATTTGTCATTTTTTATATTTTATTTCAATTCAGTGTCATCAAGCAGGCCAATCCTGCCGCCGGCATTCGCTATTTGAAAAATATTATCCAACCCCGCTCTTTCTTCAAATGCAATCCTGTTTAATTTGTCTGGACTGTATAAAATTTACAAAATTTTTCAAAAAAAAAAAAATTCGCATCAGATAGTACGATGGAAATAAATATGATCCCTTATGCTCCGCATTAAAATCAAAAGAAAATACATATGACGTTAAAATTTTTAAATACTCACCCTGCTTTTTTTTTTTGGTGAGATACTTTTTGAATTATGACATGGAGATGTTTGATATTTATTACCTCGATCTTTTTGAAGTAAAAGAATCAAGAGAAAATATCATCTAAAGATCCATGTAGTGTTTTAATATTAAAGAAGGATATTAAAAATATGAACCATCATTTCATTCGACATATCTAAAAATAAAATTTTAAGTATCCCTGTAGTTTTTTCTAAGCATTGCTCTGGTATAAATTAGAAAGTATTTAACTATTGATAAATTACATGTATAATTAATAAGATGAGACTTGTTTATGAACAGGTTACAAAATACGGACCAATATTTGCTTGTTAGTTACATTTGCTCATTTGTCAATAGCCATATATATTTTATTATGAAAAAACTTATATACTTAATGTGCTTGTATTTAATTAAATTAAAATATGTAGATCTTTTATAATTATTGTTCTATAATAAATTCTTGTTATTAATTGAATTAATACATTAAAATTCACATGTCATGATTTGACTTGATATAAGTATATTAAGAATATAAAGTTAAGTACATAAGTTTTACTTTTTTGTTATTTATACCATATTTTTTTTTGTCAACATATTTATACCAAAATAAGACTTACTTCCTTCGTTAAAAAATATAAGGCATTTTTAATCGAATCTCACTACTTAATAAAGTAGTTACCTACTTTCAAATCAACCATATCTTTTTATATTTATCCCTATTACACATCCTATAATAAATATAAAGTTACTATCAATAGGGACACTTTTGAAAAAAAGATAATGATTATATCTCAAAAGATTAAAAATGCTTTATATTTTTTAACATCCAACTTTTCAAAAATTGTCTTAAATTTCTGAAAGAAGTATAAAATGTTATAGGGGTAATTAGATATTTGGGACAATGATAGTAAATACTACTAAAATATATAAATGACAATCAAATCTCTTGAAATGTCATGATTCCTTTAAAGTTATTGGTACTTTTCTGACAATAATGATTCTACATTAAATGACTAAATTGCCCAATATTTATAATAAAAATAATAGGTTTGGCTCTATTTTTTCAATTACAACTTTTGTTTAAATAATCACAATTTTTATTCTATAAATTTAAAAATTGAACAAAAAATCACAAATGCTCAAGTGAAATTTCTTTTCTAATTGATAAATAAATTTTGAAAAGTAATCAGTCTCAATAATAACTTTTATTTAAATAATCATAAATTTAATTATATAAATCATAAATATTGAATAAAAAATTACAAATTTTTATATTAATTTTTTTATTATTGAAGTATAAATTTTAAAAATAATCAATCATAATTTTTATGATATGAATCACAAAATTTTAATAAAAAATTACAACTTCCTGCATAAATTTTTTTATTTTGAATCAAAAGTAATTTAATTATTTATATAAAATCATTAATGTGATAGGTAAATAAAAATATTAAAAAATTATGATATTTTAAACAAAACTTAATTATTATTTATATATTTTAATATAATTTTATTATTATTTTTTAAATATTTTCTTCAAAATCTTACTTACAAATGGATCCTGGGGTGCAGTTATATTTTAATTTTTAGGATATTTTATGCTATTAAAACGCTGCCGAGTCCGATATTTTTCCAAAAATCAATTAATAATATTGAACTCCTAGTGGATTAGAATGCTAGACTAGATGAGTTTGTTTAGGAAAATAGACCTATTTCCTGAACGCTCAGGTCTATGCTCCACTCCAAGGCAAGGGCCTGAGGTTGAAATAGGGTAATCCCCCATGCGAGTAAAAGTTCGTGTAATCCACTCTCGTCAATGATTGTAGAGCGTATCATTCACGCGCTACCACGGAGGTGGAGAATCGTATGGAGGAATCAAGACGGGAAGCGTAGGCACGGACAACCATTAAACCACTGACACACCTCACTGCTTCTCTCTCCCAAAACCAGTACCCTCCCTTCCCACACATGACTCCTTTCTTCTTTAATCTTTCCCTTTCTTCTAATCCAATTCTAATTATCTTATTAAAGTTAAAAATAGTCCAATTATTAAATTATCTAAAAATAAATAAAATTCAAATTTATAAATACTTAAAAGTATAATTAAATACTAAAAAATTTAGTAGAAATTGATAATTAAAATATAGGATCATAGATTCCGTTTAGAAGACGATTACTATAAAATCAGGAGTGTCTTGAAAATCAACGGAAGGCCCACAGTATCAAAAGTACTTAAATTATTTTCTACCGGCTCAATTTCGAAATGTGGTGCAATATACAATATTCACTCTAATATTCATTATTCATTCTGTATTTCTTTCTACTACAAGACTTACTAGTACGATGATTCATTTATTTCATTATTCAGAATATAATGCAGAAACATATTTTTTTATATAAATTTATAAAAAACCATATATTACCATTTTCTTCTGGAATGCACAGGAATATGTGTAGTTTTGTATAAATAAGTATCATAGGACACATTGACAACTGTAAAGAGATTCTACATTTTAATTTAACATGTCGCCTTCTAGTCCTTGTTTGAATCAGGGGGATCAATTTAATTTATTCCCAGTTATTTTGGCCTGTAAATAAATGCTAAATAAATATTTGCAGACACAATTAGATTTAGTGAGGGGAAGTTGCATCCTCAAGGGTCCTGACTGTTGCTGCTCCGTTGCTAAACAGTATAATATATTTTCTAGAATATTTTCTTAGTCCTCCCATAAGATGTTATGTAATATTATGTAATGCTTTGCCCCTTTTTTAACTGCTGAATCGTTTAATAATGTCTCCCTTCATATTTTAATTGGCTGGGTTTATTTTTTGACCAACGACTGGTTAGGTTTCTTGTCTTCACATATAATGAAGTTTATATTCTTTTAATTTAAAACTTTAAAAAGAAATGTTGGACTCTTTTTTTAACATATTTAAAAGTATAACAACTTTTTCAAAATGCATAAATGTATAAAATAATTGAGAATATCTTATAGTATTATTTAGAAGACGATAAGCTTCCGAACTTTAAAGTGTATCACAGTTGGTCCATGAAATGCCCAATGGCAAGTCCTTTTCTTGTGTGGCGTACGCTAAAACAATAATTGGGGTCTTTATTAAGTCTCAAACTTTTGTCAAGATCTCACGACTCACATCCTGGATGTCCCCATCATCCCTCACATCTTCAATCGTGTAATGATAACCAACTACACTCACCCCAATTCTACGCCCAACATTGACTCAGGAAAAGTCATTCATTCATGAGAATGAAAGCAACACAAAAAGCATGTCAAAATTTAAAATTCTCCAGGAAAACAATAATGAAAAGCCACTTGGGCTGTTTATGATGAAGAAGAAGAACAAACGTATAGTTTAAAAAATACATTTACCCATTATCTTTATTACTTCTCAATGAAATCATTGAAACTGCTACCAGGAACAAAAGAAGCTTCGTCTCTTTTTTCCAGCACAACCAATGGGTGTATCCATCACATCGCTAATTCTTCACTGTTTCTGCCACACGCTCAAAAATAACCCACCGCACAGTATCAGTAACAGTAACACTCGAGGCTGCATGGTCACAGACCGTGGGTCAAGAACTCAAGATATTCTCTGATATGTTGAGGAACAATTCAACGCCAATCACATTACCAACTTCATGAGATGCGTTTGGTTTACGAACCAGAAAAAAACAAAGAGACGATAGGACTTGGGCGTGCATAAAGTTAGAGACTTGGAGCCGCAAAAAACATGTGGAGCCAGAGGTTGTTGGACGAAACCAGTCTGCAGAATGCAGATGTGACAAAGAGGTATGGAGAAGGCTCAGAAAATTTAGAAACAAAAATTACAGACAAGTTGCGAAAAGGAAAGAAGACAACGAACAACCTTGTTTAGGACTGCACGAGTTAAAATGTCTCCATCACCATCGGGGCCAGCATTCCTCGCAGCAGTGTCCACTGTCCGCCTGCAACATGGGGACCAAGCCAAGGATAACATTCAGACATGTTCAAGACATAAAAAGTGCATAACTTGGCCAGATCGAGGAGTCATCAGGCCCCAAATAACGTATTACTAAGTATACTCCGTCCATTGGTTTAGTCCACAGAAGATTTGTTCAGAACACATATAAGCAGGATAAGAAGATATCGTCAGAATTTCAATTTCTTCATGGAGATTTTACCTATATGGTACAGCGTGATACCTCAGTTGCCTCAAGTAGTCAGTTTGATGTCACGGAGTAAGAAATATAGATGTTCAATAGAAATTCAAGTCAGTGTAGCTGTGAGAATGTGAATGTGGCAACAACTCTTCTACTTGAATCCTGGCACTAGAGCAACTGGAGCTCTTTTTGATCCGGCTTCGGTTTATGGACTCTACTTCTGCCACGAATATGCCATATACTGGTCTATGATCAGAGAATCTTGACTCTCCACGAACATAGGATAATTGGCGGAGGCCTCTTCCATGCCACAATATACGATCACACCTTTGTTAACAAATAGATGGATTAATTTTACATATACAGTTTCAAAACAATAATCCAGGACATAAATTTTGACTTTGGTATGTAGTTTCATATTTTTGCTCTATGTTTCTTATTTATCACTCTACCACTCGTACAGAAAAGGTGGATATTTTGGTTTTTCCAGAAAGAAAAGTACCATGCTGGGGTTCTCCGCTTTTGTTTCGAGTGTCTTTCATCACCTGCATATCTGTCTGAATTATTAGAATACTTGTAGGTGGGAGGAAAATATATCTTCCCCTCATTCCATCCTTCAAAGACACGGCCTTGTCTCTGCTCTATACGCAACTGAAAGAAAGAAGCATAAAATTGTCAGGATCATATCAGAAATTAGTTGAGAAAAGAAACAACGCTTTGATATCAGTATTAGCTGGAGAGGAATAACTAGGTATCATGCCTGGTCATTCTCTAACAATGCCTTCCACTTTCGCATCTCAACAAGGGCTTTTGCAGCACGGTAAGAAAGTGCTATCCGATAATTTAAGTCCCCCAGCCAAATTATTCGACTACACCAATTAAACCAAAAAAAAGAAAAAGTTCAGTAAATGTTATTGAGGTTCACAATGTTTCACGTAACAGATACAAGTTAAAAATTTGGAAATGGAGATCAAGGCTTACTCATGTTCCAGAATTGTCTGAGGAGAATTATCATCACCCATGCGGTGAACCCGGGGAAACCTCGTCTTTCTAAGAATCTCAAAGACATCTGAATTTCTCCTTAGCTCATCACCGTCTTTTTGTCCAGAAGTCAAATGACTACAGATGAAGCAAAAGCTTGTTTGGTGCAGAGACATGCTAATCGAAATCGAACCCTGGAAAACCCAAGAGACAATAATATTTTCTCCTTCTTTGGTTCATTATAAACCATAGTCTGGGAAAAAAAATATACACATTACAAGCTGCAATATCGTACCTTGTTTCCAAGGTAACCCATCAATCCTCTGCCAACACAGGACACTTTCATGTTGTGAACTTCATCTCTGATATCACTTTTCACCCAAACTGTCAAAAATATCCCAACCATTTGCTTGCTGGCAACCAAACAATATCTTGAATGCCCTGTCGATCTATCTCTGTCATCTGCAGAGAATGAACCGCCGTATGACACTGGTGAATATTGTGTTATAACTGGGGAATCACCAGGTCCATTTTCGTCATCTGAGGAACACCATCTATAATTGGGCTCATAGTCACTAGTCCTATGGCCAAAGATCATTCTATCACATACACTCAGACGGCGATCGAGCTGTGGTTGTGATAGTGACATGTCACTGTCCATTCTCATACTCCGACTTAAGGATTGGAAGGACCTCCGGTGGAAGAAAGAGGTTTCCTTCTGCCTCATCGATCCCTCAAAATCAGCATCTAACTCAACAAGTGGATCAGGGATTGGTGATGGAGTGTGGCATCCACCACTTGTTCCAGGAAGACTGTTTAGAGTTTTCCGAATGAGAGCTAGCCATTTTTTAGCCGGGCCATTGTCTTCGGTGCCCAATACATTACTGGCATTAAGAGGTACAATTTCTTGAAACCTGGGTGTAATTCAAGGAAACCAAGTGGGAGAAATCTAAGTCTTGATCTTTCACATAACCAAAGGGAGAACATGTTATTTGGTCAGTAATTTACCCAAGGACATAGATATCAGCAGGTGGAGAAGTGTGAAGCCAATCTTCAAGATTCAAATAGCTTGGGGGAGATTTTCCAGCCACATTCCACGTAGCAACGAAGATCCTGCATCCATAGGACAGGAAAAATACGTGAGAATACAAATTCTTTCCAATTACCTATTCATATCAATAATGAAGACAGTAAATTAGTTTGATAAATTGTAACGTGAAGCATACCTATAGTTATGCACATCTTTAACCTGAGAAGCATCAAGGTCAATCTTACCCCGCCACAATTTGTTCGAGTACCTCCTGCTGCTTGATCTACCTGTGCATCAAGGAGGGGATTATTCGTTTCAGAGAGATAAACAGGAGAAAGGGAAGTAAAGAACAAGTGCCTAATAAAGTTTCTTTTCATCTTTATCTTCGTGGGATTTAAGAATGGTGTGGTCATAAGCAAAAAGAAAAGCCAAAGTTTCTGATAATGAACCTGTCTTGCTTCTCTTGACGGAGCACGCCACCCTCTCTGGATAGTTGTTCCTCCACTCTTCATCAACGCCTGAAAAAGAAAAACAATATTAAAGCTGAGTTCTTTCCACTGTTAATTTATCATCCCGCTAAATCAAAGGCAACAAAAACAATCGCATTCTTGGGAAATCACTGAACAAATAAAAAAATAGATATCAGATCTTGAGCAGGAGAGAACAGGCCGTTTAAAACCAGACCTTTGGTCATATAAAGTTACAGAATACTAATGCTAGTTGGTTCCGGGTTCTGAAAAATATACGAAAAATTCAGTTTCAAATAGGCAAGAGAAAACTCGTTTTTGTTGGAAACACAGAAGCTAATATTCCAAATCATGGAGCCCTAAGCTACATTCAAATCATGCGGGAATTAACCAATCACCTCCGCAAAGGACATCGTCAGCCTGAAAGTCCTCGCCTTTGCTCTTGATATTGAACCACTTCTTGACCAATGTTTTGGGCCACGAAAACTTCACCAAGAATAACAAGAGTCAACCATTGATCTAAGAATATAAATGCAGCAGAGTTTAGAGGAGAGCTGGTGTTTCCCAAACCTTGCTTTTCTTCGAGTTCTCATATCTCATTGTTACGACAGCTTCATATAGCTATCTCTAATTCAATGACGATAAGTATACCTCTTCCTTCGATGTTTACTATGTTTTATCTCACAGGTCTTAACTTAAAGAGGCTTCAGAGGATGAAAAATGGAGCCGGAGAGTAAATAACTGTACTAAACCATAGTTCTGAACCAGCACCTTGAAATACGGACTCCTGTTCAATCCCTGGTACCGATCATTTATCAATTCAAACAATCCAAAGTGGAGGGGAGAAAAAACAATGACTTACATGATCAAAGCAATGTGTTGAAAGTTTGGAAAACGACCTTAGGGAAGAACAAAGCGAAGGGGCCGAACCTCTGTTTCTCAGTTAATGTAGAGAAAACAATTTAAGGAACAGAGCGAAACAGCGTGTTACCGAACATAGTTACAAATCGAAACACATATTAGGTCGTTTCATTTCCATTCCAGTGTTTCTGTCTCTAGAGAAAAACAAAACAAGAGGACAGAAAGTAAATTGGAAGGGAAGAAGCAAAGTGGGAGACAATGTAGAACTTATGGAACTGTGGTGGAAGAAGAAGACAAGGAAGACGGACTACATAAAGGGTGTGTGAGAGAGAGAGGGAGGGAGGGAGGGAGGGAGGGAGAGATTGTCTTCCAAAACCTCGTTCAGTGTCAAGAGCTAAGCATGAAATTAGTAGGAGAATAAAGTGGAGTCACTGAGACAGGCAAGCGTCTCTCTCTCACCGGGCTTTCACCCAAAATCCGAGGCCGACCCCAAGCTTTAGGGGGCAAGGGTGATATGGCCACCAGTGCCTACTCACTCGCCCAAGCCTGCTTGGACTCTCTCTCTCTCCCCCTGTGTGCACCCACGGTCAGCAAAGGATGCCTTGATCTGAATTTAATGCCCAGGCAGTAGTACTTGTAATTTTAAGTTACCCATGTCCTGTTCCATTTGGTCTAGTTAAATGGGAAAAGCAGTTAAAGAAGAGTAAAAGATAAAGAGGATGGGTGGAGGGTTTCCTTCTTTAATTTCTCTTATTTTAACAATATCTTTTTATACCCAAGAAAAAAAAAAAAAAATTTTGCATGCCTTTGTTCCCTACATGATCGGGTAAAATATCTAAAAAGCTTGAGGTATGTTTGCTTGGTTGGAGGGAATGTTTCGTCCTTGGAAGTAAGATTTTCTGTAAGTTGGACTTGGATGCGACTGCAGATATCCAAGCCTATGTTTCGGTTTTTCATTTTTCAAAGTACAGGGGAGATGTTTCAGTTTCTATTCTCACGCATTCACATGGATCTTGAGACAAGGCCAAAAATTGATCTTGGAGAATTCATTGGTCCTACAAAAGTGTCCTCTAAAACTCTGTTAGCTACTTTTTGTGTAAAACAGCACCAAAGCGTGGCAATGAATGTTAGAGTGGCACACAAGAAGACAACAAGGCAAATTTATCAAATGCTTGGGGGGCGGTGGGTTCATCTATTGAGCAATTCGCATTTCAATTGCTGGAAACTGCTAAAAGCACATGGGTTCATGCATTGAAATCATGCTTTAAGGGTGGGACGCGGCGTCCAATGAACCACTTGAATACAGTTTCACACGAATGTAGGATCTTGTTAGGCAACGAGGAGGTTTGGTCTCGCTGCTGAGGCCACGCGATCTCCTAGAATTTTGTGAAACTGTCTACAAAATCCTAGTTTAATAGAACCTAGGCACCAAAGTAACGTCTCGGTTGGAGTCTCCAACCCCTTTCTTGTTACGCTAATACCACATGTGGGAGTCCGTGTTCCAATCCCCCTCGCTCTGGAGACTACCATTAATTTTCCTTCATCCTTGCATTCTCGAAATCGCGAGTTTTGATGTTGCAACTTTGTTTTTTTTTTTTTAAAAAAAAAAAGAGGTATTGAGGAAGTGGAAGAGATGAAAGCATTTAACCAAATGTTTTTTTTTTTAACAAACATCCTATATCAATTCAAATCGAGTCAAAATAAAATTTTTTTGAATAATCTCAATCATCATCTTTTGTGGTTATAGAATTCAAATTCAAGATTTCTAATTAAATTGATGCAACTGCCTTGCTAATTAAACCAAGCGATTAATCAAATAAAGTTGACAACGGAGTTGCATACCATGTTGAAGGTTCCACTAGCATGTAAAGGATTTTAGCTTCAACTCCAAGTGTGGATAGCTGGCGAAGCTTTGTCACGTGGTTGTCCAAATAAATATAAATATACACGTATTTCTGTTTTTTCGGTAAAATATATAGATACGTTTCTGTTTTGGGGTCAGAACGTTGAACAAATAATAATCACATGAAGGAAGGCACATCATATACAAGGGAGTGACACTCTCCCTCCATATTACATTGTAAATCCAAATGTGAGGAGGATGAGTTGTCATATAAGTTTGTGGTAGCAGGAATCATTCATACACACAAACACACAGTGTTCATTTGTTGGCATGGCTGAAATGTGAGTGAGAGTGAGGTGGCCACATGCCAATTGATGCAGAGAGAGGGAGGGAGGGAGAGGGATTGCAATGTGGAGCAAATGAAACTGAAGTCAATCGTCAATTCGTCATGCAAGGGCGACGCCTTATATAATTCAGCTTCAATGATGAAATCTCAGTCATTCCTCATCTCTCTCTCTCTCTCTCTCTCATCCTGGTCCTTTCCCCCCTAATTTTTGTTGGCGTAGGGGCTTTTTAAATTTACTTTGCTTGTATGCTACACCCTACCCTACCTATATCTTGCACGTGCTTGTCATGCTGATGCAGCCACCCAATTATTTAAACCCTCTCCGTCTCATTTCATTTCATCGCTCAAGCCCTCAAACGCACTCCTCTCATTTTCCATTTTTGAAAGAATCCCCCAATACGTCTTTCTTCTTTCGGGGGGAAAAAAAAAAACAATCCCTCCGGTTTTAAAAATAAGACGGAGTATTATAAAACATAAACCAGATTTTTTCTCCCAAAAAAAAAAAGAGTTTTCAACAAGAGTATCTAGATCCAATAAGTGTGGTGATATACAGATGAACGAGGCGGTCAAAGGATGCATCTTTAATTCTACTTTGGCCAAAGTGTCTTCCTCTGCTATTGATGGGGTGGTGTACATGTATTAACTGTATTCTTTGGTCTTCTTTTCCCTTTTCAGCTTTAAAACCTATTCATTCCAGCTCCTACCGTTACCTTTTCTCGTACTTGGTTTTCATAAATTAAACTTTAAACCTCTCAAATTGAGCCTTTCAATTATTTCTACCTCTTTTCGTCAAATCTTTGGATGGATTCATCTTTTCACCCTCCTCATGCATGCTCTTCGCAAAACAAAGAGGAGGTTGCACTTGTACACTTAGGGACGTAATCTTCTTTTGGTCTCACTTAAAGAAATTATCCCAAGCACACGATATATGATCACAGTGATACACTTTTTTCAGTGTACAACATAAGAAGGAAGCCGTTAAAATACAGGGATAAAGTGGGCCACTCTAGCAGCTGGAATCCTTTATTATTATTATTATTATTTTAAAAAAAAACTCTGGGTTCAAAGATTTGATCAACTAACATCTTTTAAGGATGATGCTAGAGAAAATGTTGAGGGAATGAGCGGGGTTGAAAGCGAGCTAGATCTAATGAGGATATGACTTGAATGCGAGCTGGCTCGGCAATTAATATTTGTTGTTATTGTTGGGAGAACTTCAAATATTAACATTAAATCTTGGGAAGAAACAAAGAAAGAAAACTTCGGGCAATTAGTTCATAAGAGCTTAACGCATGTTTTCTTCATCTACCAGAATTTCAGAAGTTTGCTTCTCTTAAAATAGGTAAGCCATGCTCTTGTTTCATATAATCCCAATGTATTTTAACATAATAATTCGATGAAAAATTGAAACATGACATGTACTATACCAAGTTACTAACAGCCATATCTAAGCACTGAAACTCTTTCAACTTTCAACATTAATTCTCTACATTCTTTGACCAAAAATCCTCCACATTCTGTTCATATTAAAATCTGACATATTTTAAACATTGACACCTAAAGTTTTTTTTTTTTATATACTAGTGCTTTTTATATAACAAAAACAATTAAGGTGCGTTTGGATTTCAATTGGATATAATTAATTATAAAAAAATTAATTAATATGATTTTAAATATAATCATAAAAAAATTGATTAACAAAATGTTATGATATTTGGATAATATATATTTTTTGAAATTAACTTTAATAATTGAAGGTATTTGAATAATTTTTGAGAATCAATTATAAAAATAGGGAGTTCAAATGTCAAGAATTGATTCTCAAATAATTAAAATATAGCTTATGCCAAATAAAATTTCGAAAGACAAATGGGGTTTGAAAAAATTCTGTGACTTTTAGATAAGATTTTCCAAAATTATAATTTGAGGTTCAGAATTAATGCTAGATGTGTGTCTGAATAGGCTCCTTGTAAGTTATAGACTAAGTCATTTCTAACTGAACTAACATTTTATTATTAAAAGATTTTTTTAATAACAAAAGCAGCATTGTTATCAATTTTTTTTCAGACTCAGTTGGCTTCAGCATGGGCATGGGCATGTATAGGGACGCATCTAGCATGGTACGTATGGGAGAAAAAGTTCAAATAACATAAAATATGGGGAACTAAAATCAATTTTAACAATTTTAGTAAAATAAATTTTAAAAATTTTTTAAGGGAAGTAGGATGCAAACCCTCCACATGTCCCCGCGGGCATATACCGTTGGAAATTATATTTTATCATCAATCATTATATTATGAACATTGTTATTTAATGAATTTTTTTTATACTATTATATTAATTACATGTTCATTATGATAACTATATCATTGGATAAACTATATTGATTGTCTCAAATATCTCCGGTTGATCATCTATGAGGGATTATATATGAAACAAGACTAATATAAATTTGATTAATTATGAAGATATAAATCAAAATCATAGGCATTTAAAAGGGTATAAGGTGCTAGACTAACCCGCTATGAGAGCTGCATGGTACAAGTTATAAGCTTATGTCATATATAACCATGTCACTAAGCCCTTTGACCTAAAATCATCATGGTTTCCTACATAATAACCATTGAACTTTGACCTAATCAAAACTCACCTTTAATTGAGTGATCATAAATGCTATGATTGAGTTTAATAATATTCATGTAGAGGTAATATAAGTAGTCAAGATAGAATTTGTCCCTCACATTAATAGAGAAGTATTATTAGACCCCTCGATGAGTAAGATTGAGAAAATGTATGGTCATAATATAATGAAAATAAATTTTTCATTACTAAAGTCAGTCCACTCAAAGATTGAGAAAGTAATGGTCAGGTAAAAGAAAATGATAATTTCATATCTCACACTTGACTAAAATATCACATGACAAAAGGGATGTGATATAGTTATATAATAAGTTAGATCGAATCATTGATCTCTATATGAATTGGGTAGTTACAATGCCTTGCTAGAGGTCATTTTTGATTTATGGGCTAATAGCATTATTGGCCTATTGCCAACTTCAGATGGACCTTCAAGGTCATACACAAGAACAATTCAACTTGAGTTATAATGTTTAATTTCATTGAATTAGAAATGTATCAAGACTCAATAAATGCAATGCTTTATCTAGGTAAATGAATTATATATATATATATATATATATTTGAATATTTATCTGATATATATATATATATATATATATCGGTGTGTGTATAAAATATAAAATTTGAAATATAATATTATATATATATTGATATATATATATATATATATATTTGTGTGTGTATGTATATATATTATATTATATTGTGCTAGTTTTAAATTTAATTTTATATGATAGATTAAATTTAATAACTAACATGATATGAAAGAATATCATATTAGTTTTATAATTTAAATTTATATAAATTTAAATAAGATATGATATCATAAATTTAATTTATGAGATAAATTAAATTTTATTTTCACTAATTAAAGATATAATTTTAAAATAATTATGATTATTTTTGAAAATTCACAAGAAAAGACCAAAACCTTAATATATATAAGATAGAGAAGGGATGAGCTTCAAAATCAAGAGTCTATTGACAATAAAATTTTGAAAGCCACAAAAATACTCTAGAAAGAGAAAGAATGTCTGACTGAGATCAGAAGATTAGATCTTTCAAGGCTTATGCGCATACGGATGTTAGATATTGGGAGAGCTAGGTTCCTGTGAATACGAATAAAAGGAACAAACCTATATTGTCAACTCTTAAGGTCTAAAGGAAGTTAGAAAAGTTCAACATTTAAAAAATAACTCTTTTATTTACATTGACTTAAATGAATTTAATTGGTTTATAACCGTAATTGATATTTTAAGTTTAAATTTTTTAGCGCATCTCTCAATCCAACATATACCTAGGAGACACAGGAAGAGGAAACGTGAAAACAAAGAGAGAGAGAGAGAGAGAGAGAGAGAGAGAAGAGAAGTGGTGAGATGACTACATTCATGGCCTTTATAATATGCAACCAGGAGATATGACTACATTCATGGCCTTTATAAGACACCTTAAACTATGTTGATTATGTGAAGTTAAGATTGTGAAAGTTTTTTTATGATTGTGCGAGTGCAATATAATCCTTACAATAACATTATTGAAGTCACTAGGAAATTGGTCAGTAGGAATTGATAATTTGGGATGTTAGATTTTATTTTTTTATAAAAAGGAAAACCAATTGGCTGACCACTCGGCCAAATTGGGTTATACCTTTGCAAATGATCTTACCTTGCTCCCCCAGCCTTATTTGTTCTTGTTTAGCTTGTGGTTTGCTTTGTCTGTAGTTGCTATATTGCTGTACTTCGTACTATTTTGCGAATGCAAATGTTACTTATATTATTGTGAGAGAGAGAGAGAGAGAGAGAGAGAGAAATATAACTAAATTGAATCCGATACGTTGCGCGTTTTAGACAGCTCCACCTAACCCTTGCATGCTATCCAAATCAACCATTAATAAACCGACTAATCACGTATCATAATCAAAAGTCATAAATGTTTATTAAACACGGAAACATATTTTTTCAAAAAAATATAAATTTTAAATATCAAATTATCTATATATATCTAATGAGATTAGGATTTAGTTTTTATACTTATTTTCAATCTTTTTACTAAGTTTTTTAAAAAGAGACTTAGACGTTAATTATATAAAATTATTATTTTAAAAATTGATCTAAAAAAAAAATTTATCCTTGATATTTTTCCCGTGATCTCAAATATATATAATTTTTTAAATTATAATTTAATTTTAAAATTTTCAATTTAATTCAATGAACTATCTTCTATTTATAAATTTTTATAAATTATATTAATTCATCTCTAGACCTAGGGAAGAATTTAAGTAAATTTATTTTTTTTTCAATTTATAATATTATAATTTAAAAATCTAACTTCTCTCCTGTGATCTCAAAATTTTAAATATAATTTTTTAACTAATTCATGATTTAAAATTTTAATTTTAAAAATATTAAGTATATCTATATTAAGAATGCATATTCCTAATATAAAATTATTATTTAAAAATCAACAAAAACTGATTTTCTCTATTCTTGATATTCTCTCCCATAATCTTAAATATAACTTCTTGAATATTATCATTTCATGAATAATTTTGAATTGATATAATAATTTTGTGAATAATAATTTAATTGATTTTATGGCATATTAAATCATATAAGTAGACAAATTAAAATTGAATTATAATCGTGTGAATTATAAAATACTTACATTAAATTTTATATATGTTATTAATTAATATAATTCCCATTTATAATTTAATTAAATATATACAATTTATGAATTAAGTAATTAACTGATATCAAGTTAAATTCTATTGTTTAAATTAAATATAATAACATAATTTCCTTGATATTTGAATGAGCGATTATGTGTAAACATGTCAAGAATAACATTAAATTTTTATTTGTAATTATATTTTTTAAAAATTAAGACAAAAATTCAAGAAGCATGAAAATTGAAACTTCATCAAAGGTTTTCTTCTAACTATCCCATTCATATCTTCACCCCTACTTTTCCCACTTCTCCATCCTCCTTCTTACTAAACATGTAGCGTTGCTTTGAGATCATAGAGTTATCCTTTTCCTCATACGTTCTAAACTGGCATAACATGTGAACTAAGACAAGTGTATATAAAAACTACATACCCACACAATGTGAGGCAAACCTATTCATTTATAAAGTTTTCAACCGTGATATTATTCTTTCAAATGGCTTCCACATTTAATTGCATTTGTTCCATTAATTGATATCGTGAGGACTAGAAGATCAAATGTGCATTGTTTGTTGTGGTTCATTGTTCATCACGCTACTCCAAACAAGCCTACATCACTTGAGATGGTTTTGCAAGACAAAGTCATGTGTTTCGTTCTAAACTTTTGAATATTCTATTATTTATTTAATAGACTAATTGATTTCTCATAAAATCATATTTTTATATTTTCTACTTGCGTTTTTTCTAGAGTGATTGAATTGGAACTTTTGTCAAGAAAGAAGTTGTTCATCACCATTCTCGATTTCTTTATGAAAGTCATGCCTGTGTTCTCGTGTAATTTGGCATTGTTGAGAATTATGGATCATATAGGACCACATGCCATATTTTTAAGTTGATGTTTTAGCATTCAATTATTGTGCAACTTGTGGTGGATAACAAAAAGATTCATTCTCGTGGATTTTACTTCACCCCATTTGGTGATATCATTTGCGGTGATTCAAGGAAGGAATATTTAGTCAATAGGTCATTTTTTTTAATACATTAATATACATTCTTTTTTGTTCCTAATTTCATAGCGTAAAGTTTATTCTTTATGAATGTAGATATTATAAAGAGACTTGTCGCAGTTGAGGAGATTCAAAAAGGTCGTTGCCAATGGATGGCAAGAGCAAAGGCTTGATATACTATTAGATGATGATGATAAGTATATAAATCTGCTTACTTTTATGTGTTTTTTGTGTTTTAATGATTTTAGAGATTAAATTTCATTATTTAATGGTTTTTGTGTGAAAATAAATAGAAGAAATTATCTTAAAGTTACTTTGTCAGATGCCTTTGCCAATGATGTTCTTTGTTATATGAGAGGTCCAACACATTGTTCTATCATCTTGATTGTTTAGTAGTACAAGATATTCATTTTTAAGAATGTGTTATCATGATAACAATTAATTATTCAACTAATGCTTTCATCATATTCATCATAGCAGTAGGTTTTTTTTTTTTTTTTCAGAGCATTAAGAAAGTTTTCAACTCTCTTTTTGCTTCCTATTTATTCATCCATCCTATCATGAATAAAGTCAGCACCTATATTGAATGGTAAAATTTACAAATTTTAATGTTTCAAGTAAAATTTCTTATATTACAATTATTTATTGTCAATTTGAATTAAGGCTATTTGTGTTGAAATTGAGAAGAGGTCAGTTCAACTATTTACATTGATTACAACATAGTATATTTTTAATTATTTTAAAATATATTTATGATTATAATTATAACTTTATTTGAATAACCTCACTCAGTCACGCAAGTTGAATTAAAATCATTATAATTTTTATAAGAGGATCCGTGCATTGCACAGGTGAATTACTGTTTATTTTAATAATGGAATGTTAACTAAATTTATATAAAATCAAATTAATAATTGTGAAATATCAGTTATTTCTCTCAAAATAATATTCTTCGTATCACTGATATTAATCCCTTCGCTTTATTGATGACTACAGTAAAATCCCAAACCCTTTCCATTCAACCTCTCCTCCAGTTAAGCCCATCTCCCTGGGGATTTAGCAAGCTTCAATTCGACGTCCAGGCTTTATAGCTGTAACTATAATCTTTCAGATTTCCTTGTTTGCTCCAGCACTCGCTCTATGCTTCTCTGTTTTCTTATTGGTGAGCTAAATTTATTGTTATCGTGCGTTTGTTGCCCAAAGTCCTTCATTGTCGTGACTGTCGCCGTAGCGCAACATTTCACTCTGTATTTGTGTCCTTGTTCATAGAGTCAATCTGACAGTGAGTGGGCTCTCTCGTTGCTGCTGAAAACTGACCAGGCTTGTTGGTTCATAATTCTTTTGCAAGCGCATGGTTTTTCTGCTATATTCCTGCTAAAGTCCTTTTTTCTCCTTCCTTTTGAAAATTTTTCTTTTTTCATATTTCTGCACAGTGTAGTTCTCTGCCTCTATAATTATTCTTGTGGATATTTTTTTTTATGGATTTTCTGTATGTTTGATGATGTCCACAAGTTTGATGGATTTATTCACGCAAAATTTGTTGGTTTCCTTTTCAACATCTTTTATGGGTTTTGTTAAGTGATAGGAGAGCAATTGAATTGGAATTTTATCACTCTTCTCGGTGTTAGTTAAAAATTTATATTTGGCTGAATAGAGTTCTTTGGCACTATGAAGATCAGATGTCATAGGTCTTGGAGTTTTTCCTTTATCAACTTGCTTTCAAAGTTCTGTGATTGCTTTGATTGTTTTGCTGTGGCGAAAGCCTCGGGGGAGTCTTTGATTAGTGGCTTCCCTATTGATCATAAAAACCTTATGACAGCCTTCTTGTTCAATCACAATGCTGTCCTTTTTATTTTTTTGGGTGAATTGCTAATGCCTGATGACATTCACTTTTTGCATTTCTTGGGAAGGGAAGTTTTTAAGTTTTTATTTTTCCTTTTCTTATTTTGCGAGAGGGCCATGGTAATTTTTATTTCTGAGTCTTTAGAACTAAGGCACAGAGGCTATAAATGTTAGTGGGATTTTTTGACAGCCTGAGAGGCTAATACAGTTCTTTGTCTGTCTTATTCTCGAGTGATCAGGCTAATACAGCCTGATCACATTCTTTGTATTTTTACAGTTTTCTTATCATGAAGAGGACAATGCCATGGAGTGACAATGATGATGACTCATCATCAGATGAATCTTCATCATTACATTCAGATTCCGAGCACAATAGTGAAACTGGAAAGAAAAAATCAAAAGGTATTTGCTGATAATAACTTTTTCTCTGTTAATAACTAGGTACAATATATGCCAAAGTCTAACATGTTCAAACTCGCAATAGATTTTCCATTGTTAATAAATTCACAAAAGAATCTAAGTTGTATATGGCATCCAGATATCCTAGTTCCTTGACCAATGAATTTGAATTGATGTCTGTTGTAATTATGACAAATCTTGGTATTTTGTGAATAAATGTGTCAACAAAGAGAGTTATCATACTCATGACCCTCTGGTGCGGTGGAATTTGTTGTATTTAAATATTTTTAAACATATAGGACAAAACTTATTGGACTTTGACAGTGGAAGGGAAATAAGATTATCCCTACCAAAATGGTAGTTGAAATAATGAATGATAATGTGTAGTGGAAATTTCAGCAACTGCAAAATGGTAACTATGAGAAAAGAAAGTTCCCAGCTTGAGAACTTGTATATTTGGATAGCTTCATGCTCGATTGCTTTTGAAGCTCAGCATCATCGTGAAATTTTTTTCTCTAGTTTTGTTCCTACGTAATTTTGCTTTGCTATCTGTATTACTTTGTCTACAGATAAACCTAGAGAGCAGAAAAGCGGAGTTATTGATTTTGAAGCTCTAAAGCGACATGGATTTAAAGGTGGACCTTCAGTCTTGAACGTGCCCCAACCGAAGGAAGGGGAGAAGGAGCAAGATTGGTCTTGGTCAACTGGAAAGGAAAGGCCTGGAAACAAAGAGGTTGAAGAGTCATTTGAAGAAAGACAGAAAACAAGAGCTGCTATATCCCTTGGTGAGCAGCTGTCAACTGTTCAGACTCAGAGAGAGAAGAAGAACATCTCCTTTTCTCAGAAGGAGAAGAGAAAAAGAGAGCTTGGTCAGGCAAGCCGCGGGAAAAATTATGTTGAAGAAGAGAAGAGGTTGCTGAGGGATAGCGGTATATATTCTGGTTTTGATACTTGATATCCTAACCTAAAATTATCTTCATCGTGTAAAGTGTTACTGTCTTCGGGATCCCATGTGCTGAAATGATTTGGTTGTAACTGTGGTTTGCATTTGGAAACTTGAACAACTCGGGGGTTAATCCACGATGGTCTCCGGGAAACTTTGGAAATGCAGTTCTTGCAGTTGAACTTGAATAGAATGCGTTTCCCTTGCTCGGCCTAGTAGGCATCTTGTTAGATTTTACTAGAAATGACAATAAAATCCTAAGAGAATTTATGATATTTAGATTTGCAATTAAATTTTCTGAAAAATAAGTTGCAAATATTAATTTAAATAATTGCAAACTCAAAGTTACATTAAAAATTTAAAAATCTTATTTACAGTTGAAATTCTTGAGTTTAATACTTTTTTTTTTTAATTTGACATTTACAAGTTATTTTTTTAGAACATTTTATTAATCTAATTGTTATTATTTCTCTTTCTTGGGAGTTAATTGTCATTCTCTCTTACTCCTTAAAAGTTTTGCTTCATTAGTGCCACTAAATTGCATAATTCAATTCAGTTGACTGAAAAATTATTTTGTTGACCAGTGTTCTGGTTGAGAGATTATTTCTCGAAATTGATTAGCATGTGGCCTTACCCTGTCATGATGCCAAAACATTTGGAAGACAAAGAGAGATCCCCAGAAGCTAAAAAGAGCAAAATTAAGATGCAGTTATTGTCATAATTCTAACATTGTCAAACAAAAAATCAAAATCACATTTCAAAAGGTCTACAGAGGTTCACGTGTCAATTATCGGTATTGTTCCTTCTAGATGATAAAATAAAAGACGGAGAAAAAACCACACTTTTCCGTTAATGCCGAGACTCATCTTGACTGGGACCCGCAAAGCGATCCTCAAGTTGAAGGTGGTGCTGGCATCAAGGGTAAAACAAAATGCTATCAAGACCAACAGTGCAGAATGGTTACACCCAAAAAAATAAGCAAGGTCTTCCATCTCAAAATGCCCAGAGGAGCAACATGACACAGCACCATCTGCCAGCCTTGTTGGCATTTGAAACATGTTTAAGATGTAGCATCGCACTCCGTGCCTGATATGTGAGGGAAGTCACTCTGCGGCAAGAGTTGCAGATCTGCGAGAGAGTGTCCTGTATATGCCTCTGACAGTAGCTGGCGTTGTTCGGCAACAACCTCCTACAAGGGAGGCTCCTAGCTCACACCATTTATTTACATACGATACAAAATCTTCATCTGAAACCCCGGTATTTTCCTGCATCAATAACGTACAATCAGTACTATCTATATTCCTTATTCACTATGTCAAAAGTGAATGCCTTTTCTTTTGGTGGGGTCAGAAAAGTGAATGCTTTTTAAATTATTAGATAGATCGCAATTTGCCACCTCTGTCCAACAAATATAACAGATATAATCTACAAACTTTCGGAACCAGAGGAGGAGATCCTCTGATTGAAATAACTATTAGGCACTTGTAACAAAAGAAAATAAACACAATAACCCTTGAAAAATAGAAAAAGCTGTGCTTTAAAAATATACAGAAAACTGCAGTTGTTGGACTCGATTAAATAATAGCTAATGTCTATGAAGTGTGCTGCTCATATGGTCTGAAATCACCAGTTAGATAACTTGTTCAGTTTCATCATATATACCATATCTTTCAATATGTAAACTTGCATATAAAAGCAGGTACACAGTCATTATTGCAAGCCATCCACAAAAATAAAAAATAGTTTTTGAGACCAAATATGCATGTGTCAAGACCATCGTACTAACAAAGAAGCATCAGTATTTTACTCCTTGTTTTATTTGCAACACTTTTCCACTGTGTCCACTTTTGTTATATCATCATTTTTAGATGCCACAACTTCATCTCTGTAATCTATATTGGTTTTCTTTTTAAAATGGACATGACCTCTCGATCCTTGAAAAGCGATGTAAAATGTAACAGCAGAAGCAGAGAAAAGGAACTTACCACCCACTCCTTTTTGTCACCATCGTAGCTTTCCCCACTGTTTGGATAGATAACAATTGGTTTTGTAGTCACCTGAAGGATTAGCATGTCAATCAAAGACAAGCACTTTACAAAATGGCATCCGACAATATAGAAACTAATTAGAACCAACATTTATTCTTCAGCAAATCAGAAATGGAAGAACAAACGTGGCAATTTTCAACAAGCAACAAATAGTGGCTCATGAACAGAGAAACGGCATCAAGGTACAGGGTTAAAATCTATTTACAGCTATACCAGCAATCTTTTCAGATACAGTTAAGAACACGCCTGATCATTTGCCATATTTTGCAAATCTGACACCCACAACATATGTATCTATTCGACATACCCAGATAGTAACCGGGTGATCAAAACGAAAAAAACTGGACGAGGTAGATACTGAAATTGCAGTAATTCATAAAAACCCAGAGAAAAGAAGGGGCTGCATGAACAATTTTAAAAACAAATGGAGAAAAAGAAAGTCCATGATCCAGCTACGGCATGCGCAAACAAAGACAATATACATACACCCAAGTAAATTATTCAAATTAAATTAGGTATTGAAGAGCCTGATGATATACCTTCTTAAGCGATAATATTAGTCCATGTATAAATCTAGGGGGAGTGCAGTTGATTCCAACAGCAATAACTCCTTTGCATGACTCAGCAATTGAGCCACATTCAGCTAAAGGATCACCACTAACAACATTAATTCCGTCCTTGGAGTTAAATGAAAACCATGCAGGAATCTTTATGTTTTCTTCTTCTAGAAGCTCTGCGTAAGCCTAAGTAATAAACAAGCATAGTAGGTGAAAGTCAAAACCAGAAGGAAAACAATCATCGGAAGCGAAGACCATTAGCATTCCAAGCTTACTATTTCCACCACAGCTAATTGGTTTTTGTACCATTCCAGGATACTGGATATTATGCTCAATTAGTTCCCGTCTTAGTGTCTCACACAATATGTAAGATTAATCGAGTAGCAATCATACAGATCCTATCTAAAATGGAAACTTACTACTTTCTCAGTTTCTTTTCATCAATCTGAGCAAATGGCAGATTTTGAGACCAAATTCTTTTGGGACGACTATTTCAGAAACAGGGGGCAGTTATAGTGAGAAAGGTTAAGAGACAGAAAAAAAAAAAGCCTCAGTCATGAGAAAGACTAGAATAAAAACTGTTCTAGATATAGAAATCAGTTGTTTTCTTTTCTCTCTCCAGACATATTGTATGACAGCTTACAAAGTCCTCTAGTTGCAGCTCACAGAATTTGCAAAAGTGCATGAAGACTAATAATACATGTAATTTACAGAACCGAAATAGAAGCCTTATTTCACGCATTTTCAGATTTCTCCTCCAAGAAGGGTTGCTTCATGTTCTTACTGGCTTTGTTGAAAACTGTTGTTCCCATAAATCAATGAATTATGTCGTATAGAAAGTAATCAAAACAATTCAAATAAATTTATCCGTAATCTTCTCTACTGCCAAGACATTAGATTTTAGTTCTGAATGCAATAAAGTTGGGAGTTTCAGTTCCAATTTATCCACGAAGGATTCCAGTTCACTGAATTTCCAAAGCTTTGAAGATACCTGAGCTTCTAGCTTATTTGGCACTGTTTCAAATGCAATTAAGTCAGCACCTGAATCTGCTAATATTTGAACTCTTCTCCTATGAAAATCTTTCAGAGTTTCCAACGTAATGCCATCACCATAATCGCCACTGTTAAAAAGAAAATATGAGGAAATGTGATTACTGACAAAACTAGTTTATGAGGTGTTTATAAAACTCCATTCTTTTTCCAAACTGTTTATAGTTCTTAATAGAAAAGCTCAACAGTGCACATGCGTGCAAGATAGCTACTCACAGTGTTCAACCAATATTGTGACGATCATTGTGACTTTCAATCAACAAGTACAAAACTTACATGGTGCCATAAATAAATAAAATCAGAATGAATGCATTGAATAGCAAAGACTAGTCATATCACCTGTACTCTGATCCATCAGCCAAATAAGCTCCATAGCTGCCGACTGATGCTGCCACCAGGATCGGACGTTGTTTGAAAACTTTACCATCACATTCATCTTCTGAACAAGATGTAGCACATCTTTCATAATATATGCGTCGAGCTTCGATAGCAATTTCAACACTTTTTTTGAGCAAGGCTTCACTTTCTTCGTTAGAATAGCCTTTAGCTCGAAAACCTTGAATGGTGGCCTATGCACCAACAACGGCCTCAAGTTCGTTTCAAGAAGAGCAAACATATGAAAGCGCATCCTTAGCGAAAAGTACTTACCTGATAAGATGCTGTGATTAAAATATCGGCACCATTTTCAAGGTAATCAAGATGCACCTGCTCCATCAAGTAGGTCCGTAAATTACCCAGAGTCTATAACTATTACTAAACAGGAAAAAACAACGAAGACAAAAGAAACCTGTCGTAAATCCAGTTAAAAGATGAACGGTGAATTTCAGGTTCAGAAACCTTCCAAAAATGGCAATATAGAGACGGGGCTCACAACACTTTGCAAAATAGGAGAAAAGCATAAATAAATAATTAATTACATAAACAAAAAAGTAAAATTTACAAGGTTCACAAATATGAATCAATCGTGTGTGATGCTTGTGCACTATGCCAATAGCTAAATCAGAATCATCAGACTCCGCAAAATTGACAATTCCCAGAGAGAGGGCCCACTACTCTCTTGGAGTGGATATCGGGAACAATTTTGGATTCCAAGAACTACTAAACAACCCGGAACTGATAGTTTCAATCTGGAAAAGAGTACCTCACGAATGAGGTGGGGCGAGGCGAGGAGGCATTTGGCACTCCAAAGAGGATCGTTGAGGTCGGCACCGTGGCGTTCGAGCTCCGTGGCGAGGCCGCCGTCGATGACAGCGATGCCACCTGCCTGACGAAGGAAGTCAGTGAGCAACGATGACATTGCGTGGGGCGTGACAAGGGCAAAGAAACAAGACGTTGGCGCAGGAAATGCGTCACCCCACTCCCAGATCAGGTTTACTAATTACTGTCCCACTCAAAGGGCAAACACAGTTCCATGTTTCTGGGGGCTATGGAATTATTTAAGGTGAATGAGCAAATGAATTCTAGATCCAGGAAAACTTGCAGAAATTATTCTTTCCACCTTTTAAAAACGGCATAATTTAGCCCTGCTATTAGCAAAGATTAATTTTAATCTTAACTAACAAATAATAAAAAAATAACCTTAAAAATTATAAAAAATGACCAAAAAAATTACAATAAATGCTCCAAAAATTATGGATAAGAACTTAAAAAAAGATTGTTTATAATTATTGGATCATTTATTGTAATTTGTGAGGTTTTTTATGTCATTTTCTTATCAAATAATGATTAAAATTAATTTCTGTTAATGGCTAGATCAAATTACATCATTTTTTAAAGATAAAAAATAATTTACTTAATGAATAAGTTCATGCTCTATAATTTCACTAGATCTAAGAGTATGTTTGGAAGAGGGTGGAATGGAAAGCAACATTTCATTGTGAGTTCTATTAAAGGAATAAATGGGAATGGAAAGCAACGATCACTGATGAAAAGAAATGAAGTAAAGTGGGAGAGGGTGGAATGGAAAGCAACATTTCATTGATTGTAAGTTTTATTAAAGAAATAAATGATTTTATTAATCATTATTTATGAATAGTTATAAAATTAATAAATTTAAATTGTATATAATTATGCTTTTCAGTTTTATGGCAAAGAAAGTGAAAGAGTGGGAGAGGGTGAAATTAATGAGGATAATTTTATAAAAAATTTATTCATATCATGCCATTTCATCATGACTTCAAATTGGGGGTTGAGAAAAATGAACGTGGCAGAGTTAGTATCTTGAGTCAGAAGGGGTGAAGTTAGAACTTTAATATGAGAAAAATATTTTTATTTTTTTAAAATTCATTAAACTTTTTTTTTGTTTCTTAATTCAACTTTTAGTTATAAATTTGTAAGTGTAGTGAGTTAGTAAAATGTATTTAATAAGTTTACTTTTGATTCTTGAATTTTCATTCTTTTTTGCCTTTTTTCCTTACTAATATTCTTAGAACGAAAATGATGCGGCTTTAGTTTAATCAAAATAATTTTTTTTCTTCTATTTTTTGAAGAATTAATAAATAATATTGGAATTTAGTAAAATTATGGATTAATATTCACTAGACTAACTTAACAAAGTTGAATTTTAAATTTGGGTTAAATGCAACATTAAAATAGGTTTAAAGTTTAAAATATTAAAATATGGAGGTGCAAAGTATTAAAACAAAGAACAAATTATAAAATATGAAAATATACACCTCAAATGTGCTATTTTTTTTGAAGTGAGGGGTTTATATGCCTCCCCTCAATGCATGTGGCTTTGCTACTGAATATAGGGCTCCAGGCCATTCCACTCTCTCTTTAAAAATTTATCCCAAACAGTGATATAAAGCTTATTATCATTTTATCCTATTTCATTTCATTTAAAAAAAAACTCCTGAACATTATTTAAAGTTTGAAAAATAATTTGTTCATCTATTCTGTTATTTAAAAAATTATATTTTTAATCTTTATAAATTACTGAAAATGCTTTATTTGATAGTTCTGAAGCGGCAAATGGTATTATAGTTTTGAACTCTTTGTAATACTCATGTAGGATTCTAGATCTAATTTTTATAGTTTTATTTAATTTTCATAATTTTCTGTGACTCCCGAAAAATAAAGACGGCGGAGTCAGGGGCGCATGTAGCCATGTAGGCAGTGACAAAACTAAAACTATCTTGTGACGGGCTAAAAAAATATTATGCTTTAATTTTTAAAAATGTCATATTTATCAATTTAATATTTATTCTGGTAACCAAATGCTCTTATATTTTAATTTGTAACACGCACAGTCACACACATATTAGTTTTTAAGATTTTAAACCGTTATAAATAAATTTGTATTGCGAATTGATCAACCAAATCTGTACAAATTGGACTCATAATGTTTTTTTTTTAATTTCTGGTACAAATTGAGAAACCGTGATTAAGGGGTGAATGATGTGGTAATCAAGAAAATAGCAGTTAAAGTGACAATTTTGCAATGAGTAGAGGGAGACTGGAGAGTGTGAAGGTCGGTGATGATGCGTTTGGTTGGAGTTGGAGTGAGGGCGATAAGTCGTGATTGAGTGAGAAATGGGATCCGCCTAGTGGCCGGCAATTTGCATTCTTTGTTTGGGCTTCGGTTGCCCACTCATTATCACCATCATTCATTCCTCCACGCTCGAGACTGCGTCTTATTTTGTGCTCTCGGTTTCGGTATTACTCTTTTGTCTCCATGCTGGCCTCACGATTCCGGATGATCAGATCCTTGTCCCATTCCATTCTCTTTTCAATCCTGAATTTTGAGACATAAAGAATTATAATGATTTGTTTGATAAGCATTAAACAATGGGTGGATGGTATTGGTCACATGTGGTTCATGGTTATGCCTATAATAGTGGTTGGTCATAATTCATGAGATAAATATTGGTGATAAGTTGATAGTAGTTAGCAATGGTCGAGGATGGAGGATGGTGATGGTTAGTTGACAAATGACCAACATGTGATTAGCTAGTGATAATGGTTAATAATAACGGTCAATAGCGGTGACCAACGTTAATAGCCATTGGAAATTAACAATCATAAGCGGTTGACGATAAAGGCTGGAATAGGCAGACGAGGGCAATCGATAGCAGCGGGGTCATGACGGTAATTTTCAACAACCAAATATAATATGTTTTAAAAAAAAGCATAATTCTAATATATTTATTTTCTAATTTTTTAAAAATAAAAAATAAACATGTTAAGGATATTTTAATTCAAAACACTTATTTAAATGAATTATTTATTTTAAAAAAAGGGAAACAATTTTTAAAAGCACAAATCAAATAGCCCCATATTTGTTTAGATTGTTATTTTTATCCGAAACTAGTGTTTCACCCGTGCAATGCACGGGTCCTCTTATAAGAATTATAATAATTTTTAATTCAACTTGTATTACTAAATGAGTTATTTAAATAAAGTTATAATAAGAAATATATTTTAAAATAATTAAAATATATGATGGTATTGCAATAATAAAAAAATTGCAATATAAATGAATTCAAAATGTGATGAATCAAGATTCAAATTCCTATTGAGAGAAGTGATTATATTTAATTTTCGACCATACTTAAAATTGGAATTACATCAGTACTCAATCAACACATATACACATGCATTTATTTAAATATACATGTAGAAAACATTTTCTAAATATAATAGATGTGAGTGTACTACAAAAGATATAGGCATGAAATCATAACATACACAAATGAAATACATCTAATATAATATACAATATATCTAACAGGAATAAATGTTCAACAATTCATTTAAACATGAGGTAATATATATATATATATATAGGAGGGAGGTAAATGAAGGTGTGCTTTTTTTCATCAATGAGTTGTTCAATCATAGATAATAAAATCCATGTAATACCTGAACACAGCTCTAGCCATAAATACCAGCAAAACTTGGTAAAATATTCCTGAAACAAATGATGAAATTTTATGTGGATGTTAAATATAAGGAAGAATATGAATAAAAGAACATAATTGGCAAGTTAATTTTGAATATTTGAAAAGGAACAATTAGCAAATATAAGAAAACGTAATATAAAATAATTATATATAAAGTTTTATGATATATTATTTAACGATGAGTCACTAATAGATGATAGATAAGAGGCAAGGTTTATATCGAGCATGTACCTTATATATGAATCTATGTCAAACCATTAAAGATTTCTTTATAAACAACATTGTTGGTTTTGTTTGTTGGTTTACCCTCTTCATCTAGAATTAAAATCTTCAAGCCACATCTGCTACGAACTCGAGATATAGCAACGTACAACTGACCATGTGTAAATACAGGTCGTGGGAGGTACAATCCAACATTTGTGAGACTCTGTCCTTGGCTTTTATTAATCGTCATTGCAAAGGACAACATAATAGGGAATTGGCATCTGCATATTGTGAAAGGTAAACTTGTATCTGATGGAGTAATAGTCATTCGAGGAATTAAAATTTTTTGACCTTTTGAGATTCCTGTCATGATCTCAGCTTCAATGACATGTCTGACAAGTTTACTGACAATTAATCGAGTGCCGTTACAAAGACCAATAGATTTGTTGATATTTCGCATAAGCATAATAGGAGCCCCTACTTTAAGCTTGATTTCATGGTTAGGTAGTCCTGACATTGTTAATGAATTCAAGAATTCTGGCGAGTGAATATCTTGTAAAGCACCTCCTATTTCATCTTGTTTAGAAACTGTGTCTGCGCTTAAGTAGCAAACTTCATCACCAGGGAGCATGGATAAAACATATTCATTGACTTCATCAACAATTGCTAATGTTGGAGCTAAGATAGCACGCTCCTGGAAATAACATGCACTATGTATATTCTGTAGCAGTTCTGGATAAGTGGAATCAATAATACACCTAAGAGGATCTTGAGTAGGGTTTAACAATAACTCATCTGGAATTGTAATTTCTTCTGCTTCTTTATGGTTGTCGTCAACTTTTCCATCACCAATTGAGATAATCCAATTTGCAAATTCTTGAACTCTCATTGCATCTTTAGATGTTGCATTAGTCAATAGTCTCATATTTTTAGTCAATGTAAAAACCTTACAATCTTTCCATAAATATGAAGAAGTGATTGCAGCAAATACAATATCCTCTCTACTACCTTTTCGCACAACTGGAATAATTTGTCGAAAGTCACCACCAAGCAAAATAACTTTGCCACCAAAGGGCCTTAACGCAGCATCTGCTTGTTGAACTTTCATGATATCTCTCAGAGACTTATCAAGAGCCTCAAAACAAAATTTATTGGCCATGGGTGCTTCATCCCATATTATTAAGGAAGTGTTGATAAGCAGTTCACTAAGATGACTACCTTGTTTTATATTACAAATTGAATCTTCATTAACCGCAATTGGAATGCGAAATTGAGAATGAGCAGTTTTACCTCCTGGCAATAATAATGAGGCAATACCACTTGAAGCTACATTCAAAACAATCTTTCCCTCAGAACGTAAGGAGGTGCTCAATGTATTCCATATATATGTTTTTCCAGTTCCACCATGGCCATAAACAAAGTACATGCCACCATTATTACTTTTAACTGTAGATAACACTTGGTCATATATTTTCTTCTGTTCAGGAGTTAAATTGTTCAACAAACAAATTAATTCTGATGATAATAATTTTTTGTCATAGCTTAACTCATACGTATAAGTTTGTTGCTCCTTAATTCCATAACAGATGACTGTGGCAAAGGCATAGAACCAAACTCAGATAATGTCCTTGCATTTACATTCAAGAGCTTCTCAATCTCAAGCAAGGTTAAATTTTACAACTCCTCATCAGATAACTGAAAACCTAATGGACTTAAATAGTTAGAAGTGTGTAAAATGTTGTATTTTTAATAGCATTTCATAAAGTAAAATTAAAGACAAAGAAATATGAATTGTAAAGATAAGATGCAGGTAATAATATGTACACATTTACCTTGGTGTCCTGTTATTTGTCTCTGTTGATACAATATGTTATCAGACAATGGTTTCTAAATTTGTCTCCATATAAACTCTGGACGTGATAAACAGTTACAGGCTAATAAGGTCGAAAACAACCGTCTCAGATAGTTGGCTGAGGCCCATTGAGCTGCTTCAAGTATCCCATCAGTATACTCTTTATCATCATCTAACAATCCTAAAGCATAACATGCATCTCTGAATGAATTATGGTAGATACCATTCACTGTACGAAGGGATTTGTAAGAGGTTGGGCCTTTAATGGTTGCAAGAAGCATGCGCAAGTAGTATGACTCACCACTGCCTGTGGTGTGTAATACATCCTTCCGATGGAAAATCCTTTTTTTCTTGGTGTCCATTCACAAGTATCTTTGTGATATGTAAATTTCATAGGGAACTCTAGTAAGTTAAACCTTTGGCATTTTCATATTTAGCATTAGCAATGAACCAAGCTTCAAACATAGTCGGTTTCCCATTATTTCTAGACATAACATGTTGAAGATCTTCATTCTCCTCAAATACCACCATTTGATGATTAGGCAAGTGAAATGATAGTCTTTCAACAGAGGGATTTCTATAATTAATATCGAACCCTAAGATCCTCCAAACTGATTCACATGACGAAACATATCGACAATCAAAAAACATTTTGATCTCATCACGAACCAAACCCTCACTTACATCATCTGCTTGAGTATAGAATGCAGCAGTAACTCGATCATAACCTTTATTAACATATTTAAAAAGATACTTAATGGAGTCTCCTTGATTACATCTTTCAACATTAATGTGAGCTCCATATTTTAGTAAAAGAGTTGCGTTATAGGGGATAACATATCTGTTATCCAATGGGATCCCATTCTTCATGACATGTACACCATTATCTTCCCTTTTATACCTTGGATATCCATCTTCATGGATCACTGTTGTAGAGTTAAAGTTTTTTGGGGATTGCTTAGTACATATCCCTTTGTCCATACATGGAGAATGAGGATTAGCTATTCCACATGGCCCATGTAACATATAATTCACCACTACATCATGTAACTCAGGTTGTGCTTCTTTATTAGGGATTTCTGCTGAAATGATGTTGTCAATATCTTTAGCAGTAGATAACTTATCTTTATTTGCAAGGAAAACCAAAATATGAGCATGGGGAAGACCTCGCTTTTGAAATTCAATTGTATATAGAACTGTAACATAAAAACATGAAAACAAATATTAGAAAGAAATAGAAATAAACCATGCATATTACAAATGCATATGTAAACTAAATAAGAGTAGTAAAAGGAGCTTATTAATGTAGTTTGAGTAATACCTGCTTTGACACTTCCAAAAATTCCCTCTTTTCTAATATCTTTGATAAGCAAGTCTAGCTTCATTTTAAATATATGTGTGACAATGTCAGGACGATCTTCTATACGAAGTTGACGAGCTTCCAAAAATCTAGTCATTTCAGGCCATTTTGGATTAGCTGTAAAAGTTATGAACAAATCTGGAAACCCAGCCCATCTACAAATAGCCATTGCATCTTGGTAGTTTTGCATTGTATAACGGGCACCACCAGTGAAAGAAGATGGAAGGATTACTCGTTTCCCTACAAATGAAGCCTGAGTATCACCTCTAAAAACTGCATCTGCTAAACCATTATAAACCTCTGCTCGTAGTTTTTTTTGGTTCATCCTGATATATCTTAATCTATATGACTCAATCATGGTATATGCATCAACCAAATATTGTTGATATAATTTATGGCCATATAAAAGTAGTGATCCATCCAATGCTCGATCTTGGATATTGTAAGCAAAATATTCCCGAAGTGACACAGTTCCACTCTCACCTTTCATCTTTCGTTGCGTCTTCTTATGTGGAATACCTTCAGTATAGCCTCCATCTCCATATGGAAATAATAGAGGGTATTGCATTGGCAAATATGATTGGTGTGTCTCAGAAATTCGCTCAAGCAAACCACTTCTATATTGAATAATAATATCTCTTCCAAGTTCAGTTGATCCAATGTCTCCCACAACCAAGGCTGCTATTTCGTTAGGTGATGTTGGCAAATTATATGTATGAGCATTTTTACCACCCTTATGAATGAGTCGAATCTTAACTTCCTGACCTTGATGATTCCCCATAAAATCTCCAGCAAGTCTATAAGTTTTAACTAATTCATTGTGATTGTCCAATATTTTTTGCAATTGTTGGACAATAGAAGGCCGCAAAGATTTTTTTGTGTCTTGGCCACTATATTACAAAAGACAAAAAAATTAGAATCAAAATTTGGTTATATATAGTTATAAAAGCAATCAAAACTAAAAGTGTAGAACAAAAGTACCTTACAGCAGCTATCCTATTTGTTGTCTCGTTGGAAGTGTCATGTATATATAACTGAGAAAATTTAGGGGGTGCTCCTTCAACAGGTAAAACACTGCCTATCATATGCATGTTTTGGCCATTAATACAATACACATAAGGACCACGACCATTGTTTACTCTTTTATCAACTTTTCCGCCCATGGACGTGAATGTAAACATCATGTTGTATGCTTTAATATTATCAAGAAAATTCTTACTATCATCATCTATGGAGTGAAATAGCCTCTGTAGTTGCCAAGGAGCATGCTTTGGGTTAGGCAAGTCAACCTTCCCTTGAAGACAACATAATCCAAACTTTGGATGAAGGTTAGAACAATTTTTTTCAAGTCGTTCATTTATCCACATAATAGCTCCACAGTGAACACATGGATATGCTTGGTCGCCTAAATCAATAGGAGCTGAAAAATTAAAGTAATAAAATAAATTATGTCTATATTAAACTTTGATTTTATGGACATTATCAAATGTTTATAGATTGTCTGTCAAAAAAAATTAGACAATTAACATGCTCTAACATTATTTGTCACGTAATAATCAACTAACTTCCATTGTCCATGAAAGAAAATTTAATTGCAAAGTTTGTGTACTCAATGATCTATTAATATTAGCTCATTGCATAAAAATTAACTTGATGAGAATCCCATCTCATGAATGAACCTCCAGAATATATAGTATATTATTGAAAACATTTAACAAAATTGATGCGTACCAAATACCAACTATTAAAGCTTGTACTCAAACACTTACAACTAACAGGGGGTTCAACTCCAAATTGTCTGTGGGTGTTGGATGTAGAGCATGTATGTTGAAGCACTGTAATTCATCCAGATACATTAGTAGGGATGAATAGATATATAACATTAAAATTTCATTCAAAATAAACATCTCAATCATATTTAACTAAGGTAATGTAACCCAATTGTTGAACCATCAAAAGTCAAATAAAGTACAATGCATATTTTAATTCTTTACAAATTTTCACATTATTGGAGCATGAAATGTTATGCAATGTGAATTTTCTATAGTTTCGAGGTTAATTATAAATACCAACTTGTTATAAGAAACCTACCATTAGTGATATCGTATAAGGGAACTTTATGGGAGTGGCTATAAACGCTCGTCGGAGGTTTTCCCTTGTTGATTGGTTGCACTGAATCTTACATCAAAGAAGATGAAGAGGAAGAAGTATAAATACAAATGTGCAAGATATTCACATTTCAAATAAATTAGTTGAACGCATATGATGGAGGAAGGATATAATACAAAAGGATTTGAAAGGAAGTTTTAAGCCAAAGGCCTCACTTGTTATGCCATTCCTAGCAATAAATGTCCTTGTTGTTTGCTTTCTTTTTTCTCTCAAGATAGAAACCCGTTGTTGTCTCGCAATTTTAGATGATGTGATATTTTCTGAGGTGAAGAAAGATTAAAATGGAAAAGTTAGTCATACCCAGCAATTAAATTCAAAAATTCAAACATTAAAATTAAAACAAATGATAAATTAATATTTTAGTCTCAATGTTTTTCTTTTTTCAGTATTTAAAGATAAAATTGTCGAGTGAATATTCAATGATCTAATTGAAAAATTAAGGTGAAATTTGTCACAAAAATCAAAATTCTAAAAGGAGCATTGCCTAAAAAAGGCAGGATTGTTCAAAAACATATATGACAGTATCAATTTAAAATTTATGAAAAGATACTTTATTTGTAAAAGATAAAAAAGTAATGGCTTGCAGTGTTGGGATATAAAATACGTGATATTCTTGAACATAGAAAGAAAGAAAACAATAGTGAAGTGTGACACGTTTATATGACATTAGACTGAAGAGAATATCTGGCAAATTAAAAAGCATTTTACAATTTAATTTTAGGTAATATTTTAATTACATCTTCATTATCTTTAGAATTATTTACTTCCCAAAAAAAAAAGTGGAAAAGACAAGTGAATGCCAATAAATAATTTTTTTTAATTTAAAAGATTGTAATTTGAAACTATAACTTCTCTCTCATGATCTCAAAATCTCAAATATAATTTCTCAATTAATGAAAAATTTAAAATTTTAATTTTAAAAATATTAAATATATCTATATAAATAATACCTATTCCTATATAAAATTATTATTTTAAAAATTACCAAAAACCACTTTCCTTCTTTATCCTCGATATTGATCTCAAATATAACTTTCTGAATATTGTCGTTTCGTGAATAATTTTGAATTTATATAATAATTTTGTGAATAGTAATTTAGATGATTTTCTTGAAAATTATATCATATCAATAGTCAAATTAAAATTGAATTAAATTATTAGTTATTTTTTATACTGATGTTATTATAATTGTGTGAATTAATAGAACACAATTTTGTGAATCAATTTATTTTTTTCTCAATTTATAAGATGGTAATTTGAAAATATAACTTCTCTCCTATGATCTCAAAATTTAAAATATAATTTCTCAATTAATTCATAAATTATATTTATATATGTCCATCTATGAAAAAGGTTAAAATAGAAAACTAACCTTTGTTGCAGGCAGAATCAAGAGATGCATTCATCTGTTTCCTTTTACCCATTTTAACTGTGATAACACACATAGCATAATAATCTTTATCAAGAAAAAATTCCATAAGCTACAATTTAATAGGATTGAAGAGGTTATTCATAGAAAGTATTATACAAAATAAAAGAAGCTAAATGATGAATACCTCCAATTATCTAATATAATAGCTTAGATGCTTGTTACTATAGGCAATTTTTGGATTCATTGAACATTTAGAATTCTACTTCACACGTAGCAACAACACAATGATGAAAATGATTATCAAAACCAGCCAAATGATTTTTTTTTTCAAAAAAAAGTGTTGGTACATAAAGTTTAAATTTCACATTTATTCATGTTTTTTTTTACCAACACACATTTATTCATGTTGAAAATACAAACTTAATGCTACAGTAATGAATAAAGGAAGGCAAAATGGTAGTTAAAAGGTTATAATGAACACATACCAGAGAAGGAGAAGACAAAGGAAGAAGCGCTTGTGTGGCTAATAGCCAACTCACAACATGGCCATATTATCTCCGAAGGTGGTTACTAAGATGCCCATGATGATTTAATAAAATTTTTAAAAATAATGCAAAATATCAAAAAACGTGGCAGTTAATTTGATTAAAATTTAAAATTACTAATTTATAATAAATATATTTTGTTTAAATTTTGCCAACAAAAAATATGTTTTTTAATTAAATTTCATGGTTTGTTGAGATGAATATATCTGTTATTGTATATCTCTTTATTTTATTTACACACATATTTTTTATATTTATATAACCATATTCTCCATGATTTTTATTTTTCAATGCACATTTACGTCATAACTTGAACTTTTTTTCTGCTTTTAAGTGCCACGTCAGGTTAACTTCCTTAACCCATGAAGTCTCAATGTGTGACCCATATCCCCTCAATGTCTCCATTAACCATCATGATAATGTGCACGCACAAAATAAAAGCTTTAATTTCACGGAATAAATATCTCATAAATTATATATTTGTAGTGCATATTAGCATAGACATTCACACACCTAGCAAAATCAACCAAATTAATAGATTGAAATATATAACCTACACACACAAAGAGTTCGCTTACAAGATGTTCGATAGCCTACTAAACATAATTTGCAAATAAAACATAATTAAAATTAAATTTTAAACATACATCACATATATACATAATAGTCAATCATCCAAAATGGCATACTCTTGGTTCTCTTAGAGCGCCTAAATGGAACACATGTTGTAGGACTACCACCATCAGCAGATTCATCACTTGCTTCTACCACCTCGCTCTTGATTCCATCAGATGCTACAAGACCAGTAATATTGTCAAGTTCATCATTTGCTTCTACCACCTCACTCTTCACTCCATCAGATGCTATAAGACCACCAATATTGTCAAGTTCATCATTTGCTTCTACTACCTCACTCTTCACTCCATCAAATGTTATAAGAGATGAGCTTTCAAACTGTCTTTGACTCTGGTTCAAGCACCTCTTCACAGTGGTAGTGCCGACAGATTCTGGGGGAGGACACCACCATATAGGACTTGCTTTGGAGTATTCAATGGCGAACAAGGCAGCTTTCTTGAATAACTCATCAGTGTCAGAAAATGATGGATTCATGGTGAGGATTGAAGAATAATAAGTTCTTGCAATCATTAGTGTACTCACTCAGTTTTTATATATGAGACTTGCTATCCTTATCTCCAACAACCCACACGATCACATAAGCACCCACGTTTACAACTATATGAGAGAGGGGAGATAATGGAACATAAGGAATCCACTTTATTTAAATGTATAACTTATTGATGACAAGAAATAATATCATTATATAGTCAAAAATATTTGTTAAAGAAATTATGCAATCAGAAATAAATGAAGTATATAAAACCATATTTAATAAGATTAATCATTATTAGGCACCACATTTAATAAATATATAACTGACTCAAAAATGGAAAAAATTTTAAAATTTATATAGTCAAATAAATATGTAACTACCCAATTCTTGTGAAATGTAAATACATGTATAGAAAAAAGCATTTATTAACAGTTAATTAATTAATTATATAAATTAAAGTTGATATAATAATTGCATTATCTCTAATAAATATTAAAATGACATGGGTATAATTTTTTATAAAACTTTTTTAAAATTTAAATACACACCAAATCTTAGTCGTTAGAAGGAATTTATATTAGGAAATTCTTTCTTAAATTAAATTCCAAAAATGTAGGGATCACTATTATTATGAGGGTATGATATATATTAAATCAAGTAACATGGGGATCATGGTATTATATTATTTTTAATAAAATACATTCATTTAATCTATTATAGTTGGCTCCCAAATTGATAATTTATAGATAAAATTACATTAATAATTTTTTTATAAATAGCAATAATATGCTTGAATTTGAAAAACTCCCAAATTCAATCAAACATCAATCTTGGAGTCTAGGAAGTTATTGGAATTCAACCAGTCACATATGATTCAAAATTTAAAATTTAGAATCAATAACTCAAAGTGATTTGTTTTAATTTAATTTAATAAAAAAATTTAACACCATGATCCCGACATTAGTT